CCCCTCAAATCTATTAGTTCTCATTTCTGCATGCACCTTCAGAAAATGAACAACCTGCAGACTTTACTAAACATCATGAAAATACGTAAATCTCCAGTCAGTGGCTCAGAACCATAATATAAGAAATTTGAAAGCACATTTCCATGGTAATGAACCAACATGTCTGAATCACAATTAAGATGTTTCACCAGTAGGGAGTCTATTGAATAAGTTAGGTTTATGCAATCTATGTCAATAATAAACAGGTGAAGGTTATCACTTAAATATATATTTAAGTATAAAGATGAAGTAGAATAGTGCTCATGAAGTGCAGCATACACAATGGGCCATAAGAATTTGTGATTATTGATTTGAGAACATTTATGAACTTTCACTATTGAGGACTAATTTACTTGAGTCTGAAAGGAAAGGATATAGGTAACATGCCACAAAGCTGGTGCTGGGATAAAATGGAAGCCTGAGCACAGAATCAAGACAACTTTTGTTCCTGACCAGATATGGATCATTGTGTGAGGTGTCCAGAAAGTCATACACAGCAGAACCGCTGCCTCCAGAAAACTGTGACATTTTTGGCCTATGAAGATCCACTGGGGATGGCACTCTCCTGCATGTCCATGGGCTGCTATGTACTCATAGCTGGTGTTCTTGGTGTCTCTATGAATTACCACCCCACTCCCATCATCAAGGCCAACAATCAGGCTCTCACTTACATCCTGCTGATCACTAACCTTCTGCTTTCTCTGTACCTTGCTCTTCATTGGTCATCCCAACACAGTCACCTGTGTCCTGCAGCAGAGCACATTTGCAGTTTTGTTCATAGTGGCCAAAACTCTTTTTTTTTAATATATTTTTTATTTTTAAATTTAAATTTAAATTAGAAACAAGGTTGCTTCACATATCAATTCCAGGTCCCTCTCCATTTCCCTCCCCTCCTCCTGTGCTCTCCCACCAGCCCCCCCCCCCCCACATCCAATATCCCCTCATTTCCCCAGGGAGGGTGAGGCCCTCCATGGTGGTGTCTATACTCTGTTATTTCATCCAGGGCAGGACCTAGACCCTACCCCAAGAGTTCAGAGTGAGAGTACATCTCTCATTGCTGGATGGGAGTCCAAAGTCCATTTGTATACCCAGGATAAATACTGATCTACTACCCTAGGATCAGTAGATTACCTAGGCCTCCTCACTGACACCCACATTCAGGGGGTCTTGATCAGTCCCATGCTGGATTCCCAGGCATCAGTCTGGGATTCAAGAGCTAACCCTTGTCAGGTCAGCTGATTCTGGGGGTAAAACCAGCCCAGTCTTAATCCCTTTGGTCATCAGTCTTCCCTCTCTGTTACTGGCTTTCTTGAGTTCAGCTCGGTGCTTAGCTGTGGGAGTCTGCCTCTGCTTCCATCAGCTACTGAATGAAGGTTTTGTTTCCCAGACTCTCTGGCCATGGGGTTGTATGTTGGCATTCCCCAGATCTATGTCTAAAATCCATATATATGAGAGAGTACATGCCATGTTTCTCTTTTTGTGACTGGATTACCTCACTCAGGATGGTTTCTTCTAATGCCATCCATTTGCCTGCAAATTTCAGGATTCCGTTGTTTTTCTCTGCTGAATAGTACTCCACTGTGTAAATGTACCACATTTTCTCTATCCACTCTTCGGTTGAGGGGCATCTAGGTTGCTTCCAAGTTCTGGCTATTACAAATAATGCTGCTATGAACATAGTGGAACAGACATCCTTGTTGTATGAATGGACATCTTTTGGATATATGCCTAAGAGTGGAGTTGTTGGGTCTTGGTGGTAGGTTTATTCCCATTTTTCTGAGGAATCTCCATACTGATTTCCAAAGTGGCTGAACAAGTTGGCACTCCCACCAGCAATGGAGGAGTGTTCCCCTTTCACCCCATCCTCTCCAGCATAAATTGACGTTGTTTTTTTTTTTTTTTTAGCCATTCTGACAGGATTGAGATGGTATCTCAGAGTTGTTTTGATTTGCATTTACCTAATGGCTAGGGATGTAGAGCACTTTCTCAAGTGCAAGTGCCTCTCAGCCATTTTAGACTCCTCTATTGAAAATTCTCTATTTAGTTCTGCAGCCAACTTTTTAATTGGATCCTTGGTGTTTTGGAGACTTGCTTCTTGAGTTCTTTGTAAATTTTGGAGATCAGCCCTCTGTCAGATGTGGGGTTAGTGACTTTTTTTCCCATTATGTGGGTTGCCTTTTTGTCTTGCTGACTGTGTCCTTTGCCTTACAGAAGCTTCTCAGTTTCAGGAGGTCCCATTTATTAATTGTTCATTTCACTGTCTGTGCTACTGGTGTTATGTTCAGGAAGCTTTCTCCTGTACCAATTTGTTCAAGGGTACTGCCCACTTTCTTTTCTAAGAGGCTCAGTGTGGCTGGATTTATGCTGAGGCCTTTGATCCATTTAGACTTACATTTTGTGCATGGCGATAGACATGGATCGATCCGCATTCTTCTACATGCCAGCATCCAGTTATGCCTGCACCATTTGAAGATGCTTTCTTTGTTCCATTGTATATTTTTAGCTTCTTTGTCAAAGATCAGATGTTCATACATGTGTGGGTTAATATCAGGGTCTTCAGTTCAGTTCCATTGGTCTACCTGTCTATTTTTGTGCCAATACCAAGCTGTTTTCAGGAGTAGCTCTATCATAGAGCTTGAAGTCAGGGATGGTGATGCCTCCGGACATTGCCTTGTTGAACATGGTTGTTTTGGCTATCCTGGGTCTTTTGTTTTTCCATACAAAATTATTGTTCTTTCAAGGTCTGTGAAGAATTGTGCTGGTGTATTAATGGGGATTGCATTGAATCTGTAGATTGCTTTTGGCAGGATTACCATTTTTACTACATTGATCCTACCTATCCAAGAGCATGGGAGATCTTTCCATTTTCTGAGGGCTTCTTTAATTTCTTTCTTTAAAGACTCAAAGTTCTTGCGATACAGGTCTTTCACTTGTTTGGTTAGAGTTACCCCCAACGTATTTTATGTTGTTTGTGGCAATTGTAAAGGGTGATGTTTCTCTGATTTCTTTCTCAGCCCTTTTATCATCTGTATATAGTAGGGCTACTGATTTTCTTGAATTGACCTTGTAGCCTGCCACTTTGCTGAAGGTGTTAATCAGCTGTAAGTGTTCCCTAGAAGAGTTCTTTGGGTCATTTATGTAAACTATCATATTATCTGCAAATAGTGAAAATTTGACCTCTTCCTTTCCAATTTGTATCCCCTTGATCTCCTTTTGTTGTCATATGGCTCTGACCAGAACTTCAAGTACAGTATTGCAAAGGTATGGAGAGAGTGGACTGCCTTTTCTTGTTCCTGATTTTAGCAGAATTGCGTTGAGTTTCTGTCCATTTAGTTTGATGTTGGCTGTTGGTTTGCTGTATATACCTTTTATTATGTTGAGGTATGTTCCTGTTATCCCAGATCTTTTCAAGACCTTTATAATGAAGGGGTGTTGGATTTTGTCAAAGGCTTTTTCTGCATCTAGTGAGATGATCATGTGATTTTTGTTCTCAGCTTGTTTATATGGTGGATTACACTGATGGATTTTCTTATGTTGAACCATGCCTGCATCCCTGGGATGAAAGCTATTGATTGTGGTGAATGATTGTTTTGATGTGTTTTTGGATCTGATTTGCCAGTATTTTTATTGAGCATTTTTGCATCAATGTTCATGAGGGATATTGGTCTTAAGTTCTCTTTCTTAGTTGTGTCTTTGGGATCAAGGTTATATTGTAGTTCTGGCCTTCAAGGCCACTGCTCCAAGAAGAACAGTGAGGTGGCTAATGATATCAAGGGGCCCTAACTACATAATTCCCATCTACACTCTCATCCAACTTGTGCTGTGTTGATTTTGGCTAAGCACCTCTCCTCTCTTTATTGACTCAGATACTTACACTGAACATGGTCACATCATTGTGTGCAACAAGGGCTCAATTATTGCCTTCCACTGTGTCCTGGGATATGCCTGCTTCTTGGCACTTGGGAGCTACATGATGGCCTACCTTTCCATGAACCTACCTGACACAATGAATCCAAGTTCTTGACATTCAGCATGTTCTTCAGTGTGTGAGTCACCTTTCTTCCTGTCTACCATAGCACCAAGGGAAAGGTCATAGTGGCCACGGAAGTCTCCTCTATCTTGGCTTGCAGTGCAGGCCTCCTGGGCTGCATCTTTGTCACCAAGCACTACATTATTTTGCTAAGACCAGAAAGGAACTCACTGCATTGCATTAAGATAAAAGCATATTCATAAGAAAAGTCCAGTTTACAGCTTTGTCTACATATTTCTTAATTGTACAGGAGTCCTTAAGACATTTTAGCATCATCACAACAGTGAAAGCTAATGTTGTATTATTGGATTTTATGTTTAGTGGCTTCATGTGTTGATGAAATTTATCTTTATTCTACCATCATCCAATAGGGTTTATATATTTCTCTACGTTAGAAACTTGATTTCCACAAAATTCATTTTATTTGTCTATAGTCATAAAGAGAAAAGAAATGAGTTGTATTCTTTACCTCCTCACATTTATAACTGAACCTGTGAAACACCAAATGTTTCCTTATGTATCTATATGGTTCTGATGCCATTGATGTTACACAAATACATCCTTTCACTTCATGTGTTTTTACTCTGAACAATAGCACATTTTAAAAAGTGAACCAGATTTTGACATGATGAAAATATTAAAACAATATTTAAAATCCCACTTGTTAAGAGAATAAGTGAATATTAATTAATAGAAAAATTAAGTATAAATTATCCATTTAGGAAAATTAGCTTATGAATATATTTGACAATCTTACCAATGACACAATAATTAGTGTCCATGTGCATGATTATAACATAAGAGAATATAGCAATATTAGCTGAAAGAGTTAAATCCCACAAGTGCCAAGAAAAACAGTCACAATGTGATTACAATGTACAAAGACTACAGATTCATATTGATGATCCCAGTTATACACTGGCAGACAATGTTTACTAGAGCATTTTCATTTTATTTACAAATTGTTCAAGTACACTGTAGGAATCCATCCACTTATCTACAAAGTACTTCTTTCCAAGAGTACCTTCACAATTGCAAACGCATATCCCTGCGATTAAAGTATTTGGCAACTGGAATAGTTGGTGCAGTCTGATATTTGGAGAATACAGTCAAAAGCCTGCTTCCCATCACTTCTTCAATGAGTCTATCACACATATATACATGCTTGTTTATTATAATCTATCCACTATGTGCCTCCTATCACACTGGTAGTTAAGTAACTATATTTAGTCAATAAACTTGGCGTCCAAGAGCTTAAACTGTGGTGGCTAAGTGATGGTGGTCCTGTAACCAGCACCAATGGTAGATATATGGGAGTGAGGCACACAGCCAAAGTCTATCCAAATCCCCCAATATCACTGCTACCACTCTCCACCATTTGCACTATTCCCAGCGCCTTGTATACTCAGCTGTGTGTGGAAATGGCATGGTTATTTGCTAGGACTTGGTTCTAATAGAAACTATGAGAACTGATCATAAATCCAAACCTCTGAACATATGCTGGGGAAATATGGTCTCACACAGAAAATGAGTATTGGCCACTAGTTTTTCCTGGATTTAAGAGGGACACATGCTACCTCTTACCTACCCACACTAGAAACTAACTCCAAGTCAGTGAAAATACCACACTTCTGTGTACTCTGGCATTTTAACAGTTGGGTGGGTTGAATCTTGTCAAGTCATCACTCTGGTAAAGCAGACAATATACCCCAGAGCATAATCTCAGGTCTGACATTTCTGAATGGAGCTTTTCTATGTGCTGAGACTGAGACTTCTTCCTAAGCCTCAGCCAGACTCCTTGTCCCAAAGCCCTGACTCCAGGATCACTCATTATCCACATAATTATTCAAAGATACAGAATCACTAGGTCAGTGAGAAAGGTGGCATGTAAAGGGATGACACTGTGCCACCACAGTAGCAGTAATGATGAATGTACTTGGGTACCCACTCAAGGTCCAGACTGCTGCTGAAAACCCAGTAACTTGTTTGTTGGATACTTTGATACACCACTTGGAGTTATTGGAAACCTTACCTGCATTCCCTCTTATTTTCTCACTCCAGTGACTCGAGGTAGATTACTAAGATTCTTGGAAGACATTAAGGTAAACAGTAATATTTTAACATATCTCAGGTTAACTTTTCAAATCAGTACCTCTTACTACTCCAATTCAACCTAAGCATAGGAATTTCTTGCGCTATCTACTCACTCTAATGGAGTATCACTAAGTAACATGGGGGAAGGTGAGAAAGGCTTGATTTAGAGAAAATAACAGATAAGCAGGATCACCTGACTTCCTGGAGATCCAACCTATAATAGGAACACTCACTTTGTGCTGCCAGTGCCTCATCTTGGCTGTGGCTTCATCTAAGGGTGACCCTGTATTGCTATAAATTTCTACCCAGGAGACATAAGCTGTGCCTGCCTCTTTTCCTCAGGTCCTAATGGCAAACAAAAGCTTGATTGGAACCAAGTTCAAAAATAAACTGTTGAGTTTATTTGGCTTCCTTACAGAGAGAGCATGGATGGTGAGGGTTCCTTACAAGGGTGGGGGCACTCCATCCCCAATGAGCCACATCTGGAAAGATTTTCCCAGCAGAAATGTTTTTCCAAAACAGTATAGATTGAGGACATGGCCCCTTCCCTGGTATTCACACACACACACACACACACACACACACACACACACACACACACACACACACACACACACATTCTCTCTCTCTAAATCTTTTATCAAAGTAGTCTGCAGAGTTGACAGTTGGTTGGGAACAGTTGGATACGGGGGTGGGGGGAGGAGGATATAAACCATCAACAAACACAGCTGGGATGAGATTTGCAAGGGGGCACAACTGAATTCCCCAAGATGGCAGTTGTGTGGCTCAGTGGACTGTCACCCAGGACACCATTATTTAGATTCTCTTCTGCCAGAGTTGAAAAATGGTAGTAAAGACTATTCTCCTTTTAGCCACAAAGAGCACTGTTCCTTGACCTCAGACTGTGTGTGGATCTGGCCCAAGTAACATGGTGCAGAGCTAGTACAAACCACCAATGAGGTGAGATAGAATATTTGATCTGGGCTCTAATACTCACTTTATTATCTTAGGCATGGGTCTAGATTCCTTTGTGTATATGTAAAGTGTGCTCTCTGTGCTCCTAACCTGGTATGACTGTCACCACTCATAACTATCATTTCTCTGAGGATCGGGATATAAGTCAGAGTCATATCCAACATACTTCAACACTACTTCTGAACTATATCACACTTCTATACATGCTATTATGATATTCTAGGCCCACCAGAGGTGAAGAAGGTATGAGATTTCTAGTCTTGATTAGCTATGTTTCCATGAACATAAGGCATAAACAAGTACTATACATGATATGTTATTGTACATAGTCTCTCACCTATATGACTTTCCTGATGCAGAATGTAATCTGATTTATCAAAGTTTTCCTATGCTCTTTTAACAAGGTTCCTTAAATGTTTGTTTTGCAAGGTTAGTACATAGACAGTATTCTGGATTTTCAAACTTTCTCAGGATTTTTCATGGCATGTACACTCATGTCAACTGAGATATGACATAATTCTAAACTTCTGACCTTTAAATTCATAAGCTTCTTCACATGTATGAGATGCTTACACTGAGATAACTACAGTACAGCTTTCCTATTTTTCTTACATACACAATGTTTCACACCAGTATGGGTTTTCTGATGTTGAGAAAGGTCCCCCTTGTGGCGGTTTTCACATTCCTTGCTGTCATCATTCTGCATGCATTCTCTGATGTCAAGTGATCCTGGCTGTCTGCAAGCTTTCTTGCCTTCTCTAAATTATTAGTGTCTCATCTGAGTTCATTCAAATTGAATGAGGCATGAGTTACAAAGGTAAGTTCTCCTGCATTGTGTACATCTATAGAACTTCTCAACTGTAAGAAGTCCATGGTATGGAGTGAGGACTGAGGTACGGTAGGGAGTTCTTCTTCATTCTTTATGCTCACAGGATTTCTCACTTGTGTGACATTTCTGATGTTGGCGGAGTTGTGAGTTGCAGGAAAACGCTTTTCTCTATTCTTTGTGTTAGTGCCATGTGTATGAGTCCCCAGATGTCGGGCAAGTCCTGACTTGCAGAAAAAGGCTTTTCTGCAATCTTTACATTCATAGGGCTTCTCACCTGTATGGATTCTCTGATGTAGAGTTAAGTGTGACTTGCGACAGAAACATTTGCCACATTCTTTACATGCATAGGGCTTCTCACCGGTGTGAGTTCTGTGATGAGCAGTGAGCTCTGACTTGGAGGAGAAAGCCTTCCTGCACTCTTCACATTCATAAGGCTTCTCACCCGTATGAATTCTATGATGGCGAGTTAACTGGGACTTGTAGAAGAAAGCCTTGCCACAGTCTTTACATTCATAGGGCTTCTCACCGGTGTGAGTTCTCTGATGTTCAGTCAGCGTTGACTTATAATAGAAAGCTTTCTGACATTCCTTACACTCATAAGGTTTTTCACCTGTATGAATTTTTTGATGGACACGGAGGGTTGACTTGCAGTAAAAAGCTTTACCACATTCTTCACACTGATAGGGCTTCTCACCAGTATGAGTTCTATGATGTGATGTGAGCTCTGACTTGGAGGAGAAACCCTTCCTGCACTCTTCACATTCATAAGGCTTCTCACCTGTATGGGTTCTATGATGGCGAGTTAAGTTTGACTTGTAGAAGAAAGCTTTGCCACAGTCTTTACATACATAAGGCTTCTCACCTGTATGAATTCGCTGATGTTCAGTGAGGGTTGACTTATAATAGAAAGCTTTCCAACATTCCTTGCATTCATAAGGTTTCTCACCTCTGTGAGTTTTCTGATGTACAGTAAGGGTTGACTTACGATAGAAAGCTTTCCCACATTCTTCACATTCATGGGGCTTCTCACCAGTGTGAATTCTATGATGTACAGCGAGTTCTGATTTGGAGGGGAAAGCTTTCCTGCATTCTGAACACTGATAGATCTTCAACCTTGTACGAGTTCTCTGATGTTCATTGAGCGCTGACTTACAATAGAAGGCTTTCTGACATTCCTTCCATTCATAGGGTTTCACACTTGAGTAACTTTCCTGCTGCTTGCTGTGCTGCGCTGGTAGGTTAATCGTTTTCATACATGGTTTACATTCACAGGGTTTTATACCTTGGTGGAGTTCCAGTTGAACCTTCATTTCTGCCTTGAGACAAAAGAATATGGCAAGGTTTTATATCAGTGGGGCTATTTCTAACATGTAGTTAATGTTCTGTGAGGTAAACAAATTCTTAGAAGATTTATAAAAAGTGCATTTACAATATTTTTCACAGTATAGTTTATTACTAAGATAAAAAAGATTTTTAATTATGCATATATGTGTAGGGGTATGTCCCCTCAAGTGTAGGTGCACACAGAAGTCAGAGGTATCATATTTTCCTGGGGTTGGAGGTATAGGTAGTTAGGAGCTGCATGACATGTGTTCTGGGAACTCAATGTGTGTCTTGTGTGAAAGCAGCTCATGTTCTTATCTCTCAGCCTGTACTTTACCAGGTTGTTCTGAGTCCTGTTACATGCAATATTTTTCTTACATGAGATACGTTTCGCACATTAAGTATTATGCAAATAAAAGATTTTCAATGCGTGAAACAAGAGGTTTCTTAAATATCAAACATTTTTTATAACTGTCTTTGTGTAGATGTATATTGAACATCATAATATGAACTTTCAAACTTTTTGGGAGACTTTGGTGCTCAGGGTGCCAGAGGAGCTTCTCAGTTATACTATCAGCCTTTTCATTAGATAAGGATCAATATGGGCACATTCTACCACAGGTTGGGTTTGTAGGAAAATATTCTACACCTTAATGTCCAGATTCAAATTGTACAAATCTTGTTCACAATCACATTTTACCTACTTCAAGCATCTCTCTGTTTGACAGATTCCTGCTGATCCTTCCTACTGGCCACACTGGACTCTCCGGATTTTCCAGGTAACTCTTATCTAGAGCAGGTACTTCAAGAACACCTGAAATGATGTAGTAAAAACATCACTGTCCATAAATCAAATATATTGTTTATTTGGTTCAAATAAAATTGTGCAGTAGATTTTTCAGCTTTAGGAAAGTGGAAAAGGATACAAAACCAGAGAACATAATCTGATAGTCAAATATAGAAAAAGTATTAAGAAAACTATAAAAGGAACAAGGAGAAATAAAAGCACAAATATCAACTACTTCAAAAGGATAAAAGAAGTTACAAGTTGCTGGCTAGTTTTATGTCAACCTGACACAAGCTAGAATCATCTGAAAGGAAGGAACCTTAATTAAGAAAATACCTCCACAAGATCTGGCTATAGGGCATTTTCTTAATTTACTGATTGATGGGAGAGGGCCCAGCCCATTGTGGGATAGTGCCATTCCTGATGATCCTGGGTTCTCTAAGAAAGTAGTCTGAGCAAGCCAGTAAGCAGCACCCCTCCATAGCTTCTGCATCAGTTCCTACCACTACGAAGCTGCCCTGTTTGTGTTCCTGTCCTGACTTCCTTCACTGATGGACAACAGCGCTGAAGTGTAAGTCAAATAAACCCTCTCCTCCCCAACTTGATTTTGGTCATGGCAATTCATCACAGCAACAGTAACCCTAATCAGCACACAAAACAATAAAATTGTTCAAAAATTAGAAAAAAACCACTGGAGAAGTAATAGTAATGTCCACTATTACTGGAATTCACCAGCAGGTTGCTGGGATTGCTGGGTAACAGCTGAGGGGTAACAATAATTCCTCTCTTCTCACCTTACCCATTAGTACTATCTATATATTAGCTAAGGACTTCGCCCAACAAGGTTATGCTCATGACAAGCTTGAATTCAATGATGTAAACTATGTATCTGCATAAAGGAGTCACTGTTGTGCTCAAGCTTTTGAGTGTCAGCTAGATACCATATGACTCCTTCAGAAATGTCAGTATTTCTACAGTCACTGATGGAAAGCAAACCTCCATAAATGAGGTATCTCTGCAGAGTTAGCCTATAGACCAGGGGGCAAGGAGATTCTGGGCTGCTCAGGTCATTTGGAGCCCAATAAACAGTACGTTCTGGTAAAAAGATAGATGTGAAAGTCTAGTGAATTGTTGTCCCTGGGCTCCAATCTTTTAGTCCCCAGGTATAGTAAACATATGCAGATGGAAATGGTCTAGAGAACCAACTGGCTGATTCTGGGCCCACTATTCTTATTCTCTGCCAATGTCTAGAAAGGTAAGACCCCATTCCTAACACTCAATGTTTCCTTCTTAAGGAGCCTGTATCGTACATGTGAATTTCTATGGCTACCTATACAAAGACTGAATATTTTTTGGGAATTTAAGAAAATAGGCTTCAACAACAAAAACAAGGAGATGGACTGACACAGAGATGCCCATTTAGAAACTACATAAAGTAAATGCTTGACAAGCAAAACTAGTAATTGTTTAGATTTGCACTGGAATGTTGGTAAGACAGCTCAACATGACCAATATCCTATGAGCAGTCGTCCTTGCTGAATTCCCTTCCCTAGTTCATATTCACTAACCTGGGAGATTCCAGAGTGAGGTCTCTCCTATGCTCCATGGCCCAAATCCATGCTCCAACCTGAAGATCAACTCAGGTTTAGACACGCAGTGCCCTGTAAATGGAAAATGACAAATTGCTCCCAAGCAGAAAGTTCATGTCACTGATGGAACATAACAGCTTCATTTGAGTCATGCTATGAACGGTCAATGACGCTACACATAGAAAAAAAAAAACTTAAAAGGACTCAAGAGAAAAAAAAAAAAGGAAAAAACAGAAACTAAAACTAAAATACTATGCACACATGGTACAAAATCAAAAAGCAAAAAAAAAAAAACAAAAACAAAAACAAAAAAACAAAAAAACACAAAATTGGGAAGTTCTGATTACAGTCCTTTTGAAACAGCTGTAGGCCAACTATCAATAGGCTATATCCCCAGCTCAACTGTATAACTTACTAACTGACGAGCCTAACACCAGTCTGAAAAGTTCCAAACACTGAGAAGTTTAAAGAGGTCACTCCTCCACTTTTACCAGATGGAAAAATCCCAGGATGCAATAGCTGAGACAGGAAGACTGCTGCAAGTTTAAAACACTTTGAAGTACAAAGTAAGTTCAAGGCATCCCAAGATACAGAGAGAAACCACATCTCAGAAAAACCAAGAAAAACAAAAAACAAAAAAAAATCCCGAAAAACCAACCAACCAAACAAACAAACAAAAAACTGCCCATACTCCAGGAATTAATGCACAACCTCATGTTCATGCAAAGAATCTTAACCAAACTCTGGTCATTAAAAAAAAAATATTCACACCAAGAAGAGGGAAGGAAAGTAGAGAGGAACTGTAGTTATTGGAGTGTGCTTAGTGGAATGGGAAGGACATAAGAAGATAACAGACAGTAAAACTGAAAATACATTGTATACATACATTAGATTACCAGAGTAAAAATAAACTAACCAAATATTGTGGAAAAAGAGACACAAAAAATAGGTCACCACATTCCATGTTAATAAATGGAAGAATATTAAAAGTCGCAATACCCTCACTTCTTAAAGTGATTTACAAATTCAACAATATCCTTATAGTACATCGCCACAAAAACACTTAACAATGTTTTAACCATGCGAAAATGCCAGAGACCTGAAATTTGCAAAAGCATCCTGTTCAAAAAGCACAAACAAGTAGCTCTTGATACCTAACTTCAAGGTCACCACAAAGAGACAGTGGGGAACTGGGACAGACACCACCGGAAGAGAACAGACAGCCCCACGCAAAACCACATCTATTCAGGATTATGGCAGGGATCTGAAACACATTACAAAGAATACAGCATTGCAAATGCTGAGGTCATCACCTGACTTTGATAAAGTTAGCAGGTACAGTCTAGCAGAAGGAAATGTGGCCATGAGCAGATACCCAAAAAGGGATGCTGACATGTCATAACCCTTTCTTTGCTTTCTAGTGACAGTGAAGTAAGTGGCATATCTCAGTCATGTGCTCCCTCTATGATTCTTCCTCACTGTAGGATCAAAGTGACATAGCCAAGTAAAACCACGGAAAAACCTGCAGAAACTATGAGCCAACATAAATCTTCCTTTTGTAATTTTGCTCAGGTGTTTTGTTAGAGAAAGGAAAAGCTGACTAATACATTCAGTGAACTGATTTTCAACAAAGGTTTCAAGACCTTTCAGCCAGGAGGGAAGTTCTCATCTGTAAGTCTTGCAGAGAAACATAAGCTATTCAGGCTGATGAAAGACAATGCACCCCTCTCTCTAAACTTTACACAGACATCAACTAAAACAGACCAAGTTCTGAGTGTACTAGCCCACACCTGAAATCCTAGCACTCAGGACACAGAGTCAAGAGAATCAGGAGATCAAGATCAAAGGGAGTCCCAAGTCAGCCTGAGAAACTGCATTACAAATGCATAATGAGAAAAAAAGAAACTCCAAAAGTAAATCAAAGGTGTAAGACATGACATAATGATGTCCCTAGAATATACAATATACATCTTGGCGCAGTGAGGCAGACAAGAGTAATTTGATGTCTACCAGATGCACAAGAAAATTAGCAAATGGGAGCACAAACAAACTCCAAATTAGCTGCACAGAAAAGGCCACAGTGGCTAAGCTCTGCTCCTCATCTCACTGTAGCCAGAAAGCAAAAGAAGGGGTGCTGACATCCTAACATCCTTTCTTAAGCGTCATCCCACAAACAAACACCTGTTCAGGAACAGAACTGGAGAGCACACAGTCAAGTTGTATATCACTATTTCTGAGTCCAAAATGATCCCCACTATCTTAAAGTTGGATAACTGGTAGCTCACAGGAGAGATTGGTACCCAAATACAGCAGTGAAATAAAGAGATACAGAAAATACCTAGGTCTCTAACAGTGGTAATGATGCTACCAACATTCCTTCAAAAGACTGTCATGAACTCAAGAGAGATTCCAATCCAGACCCCTTCTGCCCAACTGCACATGCCATAGAAAGCAAAACTGAGTAAGATGTGGAGTTTTCAGGGTTACCAATGCTGAGACTCACTTGGTCTCTCTTACTACCAAAATTACACTTTCTAATTCACCAGACTGGAATAGATGGATGTTTTGTTGGGGTGCTGACTTCTTCCATAATTGAGATAAACAGATGATTTATCATGTCTACACAGGAGAGACACAAGATAAACAAACCATGTCTGCAAAAAAAAAAAAAAAAAGGTAAAATCCCACATGTCCTCATCATACTTGCACACTCAAAGTAACCCACAAAGAAGTAGAGAAAATGGCAGTTACAAAAGTAGGACAGAGACAAGGGGTGGGGGTAGACAAACAGCTATGAGAGAGAGAGAGAGAGAGAGACAGAGAGACAGAGAGAGAGAGACAGAGAGACAGAGACAGAGACAGAGACAGAGAGAGAGAGAGAGAGAGAGAGAGAGAGAGAGAGAGAGAGAGAGAGAGAGAGAGAGAGAGAGAGTGTGTACGACATTAGCATGTACCAGGTAAACATCCATCAACTTAGTATTAAAAGCTAGCTGCCTGGGAGTCAGACTCACCCAAGGACACCAGGCTGCTGTAGTTCTCCAGCATCACATCCCTGTAGAGGGTCCTCTGAGCAGCATCCAGCTCCTGCCACTCCTGCCATGTGAAGTCCACAGCCACATCCTCAAATGACACCAACCCCTGTAATGACACACCTCTTGTCAACCCAAGGTCTCAGAACTGGAAACAGAATCCATTTCTCTAGGTGTTTGTGTCCTGCCAAGTGTCACATAGAAGCTGAGGCTTGACTTGTATTCTCTATTGTGGAACAGACTAAGATCACCACAAATATCTTACCTCTGCATTAAAGTAGTGATTGAAGAAATTATAATTAAAGAGCTCTCCATGGAATTATAATAGAAACAAAATTGTATTTGAGTATGTGTTTGTAAGGTTCCCAGTAAGAGGAAGAGAGTGGATTCTATAAACTCAATCATATAAAAACAAGATTAAATCTATAAGGCATGCACAACACAATAAAAAGGCAGAGGCTGGGTCTGGCAGTTTAGCATTGTGCTTCAGTGCAGAAGATATGAGGGCATCACCTCAAGTCCCCCTTCCTATAGTAGAATGGATCTTATTCTTAAAAGTAAGATGATGACCCCATTTAGGGGTCACATACATGAATGTAGGGTCACATAATTAGTTTTGCAACAGAGAAGGTTTCTAAATATGCCACAACCAAAGTTTAACTAAGAGAGACATAATGAATCCACTATTTTGAACAGCACTCTGTGGATAGCACTCAGTCATGTGGCAACAAGTGACAGCTCTGTAGCTTTTGCTGTGAACAGACAGCATGTGTACTAGGCACTGTTCATGCCATCACATCATGCAATTTCAAGAAACGTGGCTTGAAATCATGTTTTATACTGCACAGCTTTTACTCTGCATACACTTTTCTACTCTTACTGAAACAATGACTTAATCACAAAAATTAAAGGTTTTTAAGCATTTTCCCAACTTTATCCTTCACTCTTTAAGCATGAAATTAGCACATATTTGACTTCTGTTGTGTTACAAAAACAAACACATGTACTTTACTTGTATGCAAAGTTCATTTCGTCTTTTGCAAACAATAAAATCTTAAGAAATTACTTTAAAATAAACATGTAAATTTATTAAACACATGTTTGGTTTGCATTTCTATTTTATGTGAACCTATATACCTGGATTCATACAAAGTTTCTCAGGCAAAAATGGATCATAAGTGGAAACCATATATATCATTTCTCTCTCCAAAGCATAAGTGAGTTGATAAGTGAGATAATAATCACATCAATGAGTTCAAAATGATTAGACACACACACGAGCAAGACCTCAACTTGCATCATACTATACAAGAAGAAAATGATTCTATGCTCCTGAGGTCATCCAGAGTGTAGGCAGATAACGATTATACATGTAAATAATACATGGACTCACATACCTCTTTAGAAAACTGAGAAAAATCATAGTTTCATACGCTAATACAAATATTCCCATTGTTCTTATCACCTGGGATCAAGAGTAAACAACGGGTTAAAACTCCAAGGCCACATTTCTCCCTGGAAGGGCACTCCATTATGGTCTGCTAACTGCTATTAGATAGCTGAGCTTTTATTTGCCTCTCAAGGATAACAGAAAAATCAGTACCCCCTGATAGCCACAATGGGAGCTTAGACTACTAAGATCCTCCACTGCTCACAAACATCTACACACCCACCAGTTGTTCATAGTAGTAGTCTGCCACTCACTGAATGCCTCATCTTTAAATTGGGTCTGTTTGTGAGAATATAAACTAAACTTCCAAGTCTGGGAACAAAGCAATGTGGCACATGCAAATCTCTTTAGGGTCCAGAAAAACTGTCAAAAACCCAGAAATAATGAAGAAAAGGATGTCAAGACAGATTCCGGTCTAGTACCAGAAGTCATCCATTCTTTAACAAGCTATTGGACAGCCTGAATGACAACAAATTTGTCCCAGGGATGCGATGAAGCAGACAGCATACTTCTTGCAGCCCCAGGAAAGCTGTGAGAATCATCATGTCAAAGCAATGACAGACTGCAAGGGTCAGATTACAATGGACATGGCAAAAGGGAACTCAGTGCTCTTCTGTTGATGTGTAAAATTAGTACAGTCCTTTTACAAAATAGCAATCAAGCTCTGCAAAAAATGTAAACACAAATCTTCCACATGACCCAGTAATCACCAAGGCTGGCAAGTATACAACAGACATCTAAATGTGAAGAAATGATTTCACATCCATGTTCACTGCCAAAAATGCTAATAGTTAAGTGTCTCTTAGATAAAGGCATGGCAGGACATTCCTCCAACATACAGTACATCCACCTGTTCTGAGAAGATCCACAGTACACATGAGACTGCCCCCTGAGAGAGAACCCAAGGGCTAGTATTCAGTAGAATTCCAAGAGATCAGAAATATGGCTTCTGTGGATACTTGAGACCAGGAAGTACAGATGCTGGGAAAAAGGGGCATCACACTTTAAAGTTTGCTAGGGGTGAGCTCAACACAATGTCATCAGATAAAATTTCTGTCCCTAGGGTATGCAGGAGAGAAACATGAAATCATTTCCATGAGCTCAAGTGAATTTTCTTAGCTTTCCTCTCATGTGACACATTCATGAACAGAATTTAAATATCCACTGCACCAATGTCTGTTATTAATAAATCACATACAACAAGGAACAAATAGCTTAGCATACTGTAGAAAATGATGTTGATGGGGTTGGAGAGTTCCTAGCATTTATACAGTAGCTCAGAACTGCCTGCAATGCCAGTTCCATGGAGTATGAAGGCCTCTTCAGACTAATGCATACAAGTGGTACACATAAATTCATTCACACAAGCAAAAAGAGATGTTGATATTTCATAACACAGGGAAGTGGCATTTTAGGAATTTGTTGCCAGAGACAGGGTGTGGTGGAAGTACTAGCCATGCTTCTGAATCTTCAAACTTGCTTCCCACACAACTGGGAGGCTCAGGGAAAACAGTTTACCCACGGGGAAGAGGTGAGGCAAGAGAGTTGGCCTTCCACATCCTGATACTGCAGGAGAGGCTGCTGTGGAGCTGGGATTTTCCCAAACAGCAGACTGGTCAACAAAGAGATAGATGCAGAACATTGTTGCTCATGGCTTCCCTTTTTTTCTTTATATTTAGGTCATGCCAGGTCTGTAGACACCGCCCTCTGACCCCTCGGAAGTGGGTTCTCAACAGATGCTCCTGCTCTCAACAGCAAATGGGGTGTTGCTGCCTGAAGGGGTCTGAGGAATTCCCTTCAGAGACCTCCTCTCACAGAGCCTTTCCTCCTCTCTCAGGCTCTCACTTCCTCTCTCAGACCTTGTCTTCCTTCTACAGGTTCCCTTCTCTCAGGACTGTTAGTACCTCATCCATCCTCAGTGACCAAAGAACATTAGCACCACCTCTCCCAACCATTTGAAGCCCCACCAAATCTAGTATACTCACTGCCTTCTCCTGTCCTATGAAGGTCAAGTCACTTCCCCAGGGAGTCAGGCAGGAATGGTTACCTCCTGGCCTCAGTTCTGTTCATTATAGTACGAGCAGCTTCATACAGGATCCTTCTGGTCTCAGGGTCCCAAAATGGAAGGTTTGAGTGTACTAAAGCAGCTTTTGGCCTTTTCATGACAATCCCATGTGTGTCTTCCTGTGACTGCACAACAGATAAGGGGTGATATCATTCTATAGAACAGACTCTAAAGACAGGGATTGGCTTCTTTGAGGTCCCACAGGGAGGTGATTGGGAATGGAACCTACCACCCATGTCCAACAAGCACTCTACCATGCTAATGATTTGTATCTTTTTCCTTAAGGCATGGTTTCACTAAATTGCCCTGGCCCACCATGAATTCACTCCACACTCCTCAAATTTGCAATATATATACATAAAAGTATGTATATATACTAAACTGCACCACCATGCCTCCTGGCTTGGAGGTGAGATTTGAACCTAGATCTAGGCCTCCCTCTCCTGTTTCACCTTACCAGAGCATGGAAAGAGATATCTAGAGAGAAAAGAGGGAAGAGGTAAAGCCTCTAAGCATAGCTGCTCCTGGAATCCCAGGTTAAAAACATCCTAATGAGTGGCTAATCAAATTACCTTCCTGAGCAGGGCTACACACATACTTTCAGAGACTGAGACAAAGAAATGAGGAAACAGTAAGGGACAGGGAGTTGGATATGGTGGCTTATGCCTAAAGATCCCTAGGGATCAGAGAGCTATGGCAGGAGGATCACCATAAGCTTGAGTCCAGAGTAGGCTACAGAGTGAGACATTGTCTGAAAGATCAAATACAAACAACAAAAGAATCACACAAACAGGGAAGAGAAGGAGGCAAAGGACGAAGGGTCAGATTTATAGGCACACAGGGGACACACATACAGAGAACTGAGACCCACATGTGCAGTGCTCAGTTTAGGGTGCAGACCCCATTCCCTGCACTGAGTCTCCTAATCCTCCTCCTTCATCTCCCATGAACCAGACCAATACCAAGGGAGATCTGGAAAGCCCAGAGCTATATGGCCAAACCCCAAGGCGGGACACTCAGAGCCTGCTTTTTGTCTCACCTCTCTTGCTTCACAATACCCGAGCCATGTCCCAAGCACCTGGCTCCTTCCCCTCCTTGCCTTACGTGTGAAAATGGAGGAGCCAAGGGAATCAACATGGCTGCCATGAGTCTGGTCTTGGGACCTTTCTGTGGCAAAATGATCTGATGCAGGTCCTGCTATTGCAGCTGTTTCTCATATCAGTTCCTCTACAGCTAAGGCCTCTTTTGCTCCGTTCAACTTAATCCCCATTCCCACCCCCCCCCCCAGAATTATACTGTGCTACCAAGCTATGACTGTGTGCCAGGACCCCACCAGAGGAGAGGCATTCTGAGTTTCTCCCCCTCAAAGAGAAAGACCAACTGGTACCTGAACTCCTGCCAAGAATGAGTCCCTACCTTGGGGTCCTCTCTATACTTCCACAAATAGTACAAAGGGCTGGCCTGTGATCCCAGTTAAGGGAGGATGGGAAGCTCACAAGCCAACTGCGAGGCAGTTAAAACTATGTCTCAAAAAATAAAACCGTAAGAAACAGCTAGAGGCTCACAAGGCCCCATTCCTCCTTCAGGATATGTAAGCAGTTAATGGTTGTTTCCGGAGAGGTTCTTTATTGGGTAGTGCAGACAACAATTTGAGACTCATGCTCCTCCCCTACAATGTGCCTGCACATGTCAAGAGCCATTTAAAAAAATACTCCAGAGAAGTGGAATGAGGCAAGATCTCCTGAGAAGATTGGGAACATCAGGGGAGGGGAGAGGGAGCCAGGAAAAAGAGAGGGGGATAAGAGGACATGAGAAGAAGGTATGGGGGAGCAGGAAGGTTGAGTCGAGGTTAAGAATAGAGGAGAGTAGGATGAGAGATACCATAATAGATTGAATCATTATAGGCTTGAGGAGAGAGCTGACACTAGTGAGATCTCCAGAGATCTACAAGGATAACACCAATTGGCAAACTAAGCAATAGTGGAGAGACTACATTAATTGCCCCTCCTTGATGGTAAGGTTGATGACTAGCTTATATGCCATCCTAGAACCTTCATCCAGTGACTGATGGAAGCAGAGACAGATACCCACAGCTAAATACTGAAGTAAACTCCTGGAACCCAGTGACAGAGATGGAGGAGTGATGAGCAGAGGGGTCAAGACCATGATGGTGAAACCCACAAAGACAGCTCACTGGAAAAGGGAGAGCTCTTGAATCCCAGACTGATGGCTGAGAGGCCAACAGGGGACTGATCCAGACTCCATGAATATAGTGTCAGTGAGGAGACCACAGACATCACTGGGACCTTGGGTAGTAGATCAGTGTTCACCATGGTTAATGAATGATCTTTGGGAGCCCATTCCAAATAGAGGGATGCTCTCTCAGTCTGAACACATGGGGAAGAGCCTAGGTCCTGCCCTGGATGAAATGACAGACTTTGGAGATACCCCCAAAGAGGGCCTCATTGTCCCTGGAGAATGATGAGGGGATTGGGTGGGGGGGTGGGGGGCTGATGGAGGGACAAGGGAGGAGGGGTGGGAGAGGGAGCTGGGATTGACATGTGAAGCATTCATGTTTCTAATTTAAATAAAAAAATAAACAGACATAAAGACATCCAAAAATAAGGGGAAGTAGTGAGAAAGAGGAAGGGAATTAGAGGGAGTGGGAAAGGGGCTAGAAGAGTAATTGGGGTTGGCGTGAAGAAAATGCATTATACACAGGTATAAAATGTAATGAGAGCCATTACTGTATACCCTTAATATATGATACTAAAAACGTTAAGAAAAAAAAAAAAAAGACGAGTAGCTGATTTGCACTGCTGTGCACTTAGGTTCCATCCCGAGTAACATATAAAGAGACTGAGCCAGAAGTCAGGGAGAGTGAAGGAAATAGCTCAGAGTGGGGAAGTACCTACTCCAGATTCCCCAGGGACTCCAGGGCCCGAAGGAAAGGCATGTTGAGAAATCCACAGACACTGGGGAAAGATGAGCCATTAACAGCAGAGGAATGGGGTGGGAGGTTCCGCTCACAGACTCCCACAGTCAGAGGTTCCGAGATACAGCACAAGATTGCGACACGGCAAACCAGGGACAAACGAGGAGGTACGAGAAGAGGGGGCGGGATGGCTACAGGAAAACCCTGGGGACACCGGAGGACATAAGGGCCCCGAGACCGACTAGCCCGCGTCCTCTCAAGCTGACCCAAGTCCTACCAGATCCGGGGGAGGCAGGGAAGCTCCCGGCTGCGCTCGGGCAGCCACAGGTCCCGCAGGCCCACAGTTCCCACCTGGGCAGCGTCCGCAGCCGCCGCGGTCAGGGAACGTCACTGCGGGTCCCCAGTGTGCGAACGCGACGGGACCCGGGCTGCAGCAGCCGCCCTAGCCCGGCCACAGAGCGGGGGGCCCGGGCGCAAGGCGGCTCCCGCCGGGGGTGCTCGGAGATGGGGACGCTGGCGCGCGTGCACGCACCATTTCGGGACTCCGGGTGAGCGGCTCCCTCGCGCTGGGTGTCCGGGCACCAGCGAGTCACAAGGGGACCGAGACCAGGTGCAATACCGATGCCAAAGCTGGAAAGAGAAAAACGGCCACAGACGCCAAGATGGCGGGGTCAGCAACAACGGACGCAGGGCTGGACGCCCCGCCCCCTCGACTCCGTTAATGCGCCTGATTGGGTAGCCTTCAGCCTAGTGCCCCGGATTGGGGAGTGCTTAAGGTCCCACCCTGAGTGACAGTTCACGCTTCAACCCTTGGGTGGATGAAGACAGAATGACAAGGCCTTGCTTTCACAGGTAAGTTAAGGCAGGGCTTCCTGTGACAGAACCTCGTTCCCTTTTGTGTGCATTTAACCTGGCAAATAAAGTATTAAAATTTATGAATTCCAAGAAGAGCAAATTAATCTTTTAATATTTACTTTTAAAAAATTCAAAAAGTTTGAACTTGATTGTAAAAACTAACATGTAAGAAACTAATATCATGTTTTTCATTGCTTATCCATCTTAGGAGAAATATGAAAATATGTACAACACATCCCACATGCATACAAAATATTTCCATTTTTTTGGTTTTGAGGATTTTTCCCCCCTCACAGATAATAACCAAATGTCTGTGCTTAAGTCACCCTCCTTTGAAAGCTAGTGACATTCATACTGTAGGGAAAAGGGGCCAGCCAAAGAAACACACCCTGAGCAGAGCCAAAGAAACACACTTTGGCTCTGCAACCAGTGTCCCTGAAACCGGTGCCAAAGAAACACACTGTCCCTGGAATCTGAGTCAGTGAAAGAAATACGCCCTGACCCTAAAATTAGAGCCAAAAGGCTAAAAAGGACCAGAGAAAGAAACACACTTTGGCCCTGAAACCAGAGCCAAATCTGACCTTAACCCTGTGCAGAAAACTAACCAATCCTTGAGCAGGAGCTCTAGCCAATCTGAGCTCAGCATTGAAATCTGACCAATCCCCACCTTGGAAGCCCTATATAAACCCTGTGTCTATTTAGTTTATGGCTGTTTGTGCTACCCAGCTGTCCTCTGCCACTCTGGTAGAGGGCAGCCACTCTCCTGGATTCTTCCCTCCCAATAAACCTCTTGGATGAGCTTTGGGTGAAGACCTTCTTTTGCAAAGGAGCAGAGAGGACCCTGGACAGAGCAGAGGGGACAGGGCTGTAACACTTTTGGGGGGGAAACCTTCCCCTGGCAGAGAGGAGCTGTTACACTCGGCTCTCTACTCTGGGAGCTGAACTGTAGCAACTTCGCCCAGAAAACCTTTTGCCTAAGTAAAACTGCTACACTAGGTAAACATCCCCAGCTGGAAGACCCTCTCCTGCTCCATCAGAGCAGAGCTGATACACTGAGAAGCCTTTCCCTGAAGCCGGGTTGTAAGGTTGTAAGCAGCTATACTTACTGCGACCTGTGGTAATCCTTGGCTCCCGAGCTCCAGGATACCTTTCCATCTGAGCTGTTTAACAGCTCTGTGACTCCCGAGTGCCAGAATACCTGTCCCATCCCGATCCAGCCCGAAATGCCTACACATACAGATGTATCTACCAAGAATGCAATTCCTCTTGCACAATGTAGCCAAACGGGGGAGCATATCTTAAATATGTTCTTTGACTTTAGCTAGGCAGAGCTTTTTACTTCCCTCTTGAACTGAGATGCCACATCAGGCAAAGCATCACAGCCCACATGATGTCATGCACAGCTCATGCATCCCAAACCACAGAGCTCGTGGTTGTAACCTCTGACTCTCTGCAGTGGTTTCCAGAGAAACTTTTAAAACCTGACTAAGTCAGTTTATAAAGGAACAGGGAAATCAGAATCCCGGGTCTAGGACACTGACATTCATAATGTTTAAAGCGTTCCAGGATAACTCAGTGTGAGTCCAATCCCCAAACAATTGCTTACAAACATCACCGTTGATCGAATTGCTTCCTAGTGGCTTCTTAAATGAAGTTTTCTTAAACAAATGTCTATTTGTCCCAGACTGGAAAAAAGAAAAACAACAGAGTGAAGAATCAGTTCCACTCATACATAGCTTGTATTGTTCTATTACTGTAAAGGTACACTATGACCAAGACAACTCCTATACTTTTATAAGCATTTAACTGGGACTTGCTTACAGTTTCAGAGGTTTAGTCTGTTCTCACCAAGCTGGGGAACTTGGTGGCACACATACAGACATGTTGCTGGAGACCCAGCCGAGACACTGGGCCTGGTTTGGGCTCTGAAACCTCAAAGCCCATCCCCAGTGACAAACTTTCTCCAACAAGGCTATATCTACCCCAAAGAGGTGTATTTCCCAATCCTTCTAAGTATTATCGCTCCCTGATGACTAAACATTCAAATATATGAGCCTATGGGGACCATTCTTATTGAAACCACCACATGTACCAATGAGTTTAAATTTCATTTTATGTATTGATCTGTGTTTGCATGTGCTGGAGTACAAAGTTACAGGACAGTTTGTAGGACATTGTGAGTCCCAGAAATCAAACTCAAGTCATCAAGTTTGGCAGCAGGAGTTTTTACTTGAGGAGCCATCTTTCCAGCCTCCCCTGAGTTTAATTAGAGGAAGGTGTAAGGGAATACATTCAGGACCATAGGTTACACCATTAACCAGTACCCCGAGAAGGCAGGATACTGGTGACAGAACACTACCAGATCTTAGAGGAGCTGAGGACAGCTCTGTCCAATGCCAGGACCCTAGATTGTTAAGCAGGAACAGACCATGCTCCACAGAAACTCTAGTCTACCAGGCAACTGTGTCATCTGTCACATTTTAATTTTCACTGTCATTATAAGATGACCCAAAGGCAAAACTGGGGGAAGAAAGAGCAGATGCATAGGAGGAGACTTCAAAACACATATAGTAGGTTGTTTTCCCCAAATATAAGACATTTATCTGACACTAAGGGGACTAAATATTGATGAGGTACAACACCCAAGAAAAGAAAGAGCAGAATTAATTATATGGAGGTGTCATCAGATTGTGGCAGATCCCATTCTCCAAAGGAGACCCACAGAGAAACATCAGGACTTTCTTTCCCCAGCTTCTAAAGGCTTTTTTCTCCATTTGACAAATAGAGATGGATCTTAATGGAACCACCACTGAGATGTCATCCATAATGTCTTTTAGCAGTTGCATCATAAATCCTTTATTGAAAGGATATTGAAGCAGTATACTCTGTCAGGCATTCCTGTACTAATAACTGATCATTTTAAAAGTGATGTCTTCCAAATGATGACAGATTACTTTGTTTCATGAAGGCATTTGTTCTTTGGAGTGGGAGTTTGATTTTTTTTTGTTTGTTTACTGAGTTTTGTTTTGTTTTCCTTTGTGGGACTTGGGATCCAAAAGACAGTCTTGTACATGGTAGGTGTGTGCTTTATGACTAAGCTACAGTTCAGTCTCCCTTGTGTTCTTCTGAGACAGGGCCTCCCTATGTAGCTCAGGATAGCCTTGGACTCCTATTCGTCCTGCATCTGCCCCCGGTGCTAGGATTATAGTAGAGCACCACAACAGAATGTCGCACTGAGAACTTATACTCACCCATATCTGTGCTGACAGGAGCTAACTTGTTTGACCTTTCCCCTATCCCTTTGAGGATGGATGTGGAGGCACCCATGTGACCAGGCAGATACCTGCAGGTCAGGCAGTAAAACTCCTTTCAGCAGTTATGTTTTTCTTTAACTCTAGGTTGCCAATGTTCAGTTTTAAATAAGAAAACCCAAGGCCAGTTACATTTAGTGTTATTGCATAATATGTACTTACATTGTGTCTTATTTCTCTGAAAGGTTTTCTAGTTTGCTGAATTAGTAGTATTTAGCATTTTTTTCAATCTGATGTGTGCATTAATAGTAACTTTCATTATTTCCTAAGCTCTCGATTTTGTTCTTCTCTGTGTTCAACATTACTTTAAGGATCATATGTAATGGAAGCTTAGTATTTGCACAATGATTTAATGTAGGCTTACCATAAAAGACTGTAAATTATTGTTTAATTTTTTAATAAATAACATTGATATATAAAACTATCTCATTTGACAATTTTGTTTGTGTCAGGGCATGAAAAACATGAGCCCATGCTTTCTGGTATTAGAATTTTAGCTTAAAAACCTATTATGATAATAGGTAACTACATACTTGCCTGTTACCCACTTCCTTATTCTGTACACTTGTCATTTTAACTATCCATATAGTGGTGGCTTGAGGAAATTCTTTTTGGTATTGATTCACATCAATTTGCATCTGAATGACTTCCATTACTGGATGATTTTACCTTTTTGTTTTGGTTTGGGAGGAGGACTAGAGTTGTGTGATTTTCTTCTACAAATTCATGGAATATGTGTCCAATGACTTGGATCTACTTCACAGCCTTCTCTTCTACTCCACAGACTCAAAGGTGCCATCTTTTAATTATTCATGGGGGTTGGGGTCTCTTAACTGCTTTATTCATGAGTGTTCTTTTTCCTTCAGTAACCTCACTGTAAGGATTCCTTATCTTCATCCCTTTCTTAGTCTTTTTTTATTATTTTTATTTTTAAATTTAAATTTAAATTAGAAACAAGGTTGCTTCACATATCAATTCCAGGTCCCTCTCCCTTTCCCTCCCCTCCTCTCACGCCCTCCCACCAACCTCTCCAATATCCACTTATTTCCCCAGGGAGTGTGAGGCCCTCCATGGGGGTGTCCATAGTCTGTCATTTCATCCAGGGCAGGGCCTAGAACCTCCGATGAGAGTCCAGGGTGAGAGTGCATCTCTCATTGTTGGATGGGCACCCAAAGTCCATTTGTGTACCCGGGATTAATACTGATCTACTACCTAAGCCACAATAGATTACCTAGGCTTCCTCATTGACACCCATGTTCAGGGGGTCTTGATCAGTCCCATGCTGGAATCCCAGCCATCAGTCTGAGATTCAAGAGCTAACCCTTGTCAGGTCAGCTGTTTCTGGGGGTTAAACCAGCCCAGTCTTAACCCCTTTGCTTATCAGTCCTCCCTCTCTGTCATTGGATTCTTTGATTTTAGCTCAGTGCTTAGCTGTGGGAGTCTGCCTCTGCTTCCATTAGCCATTGAATGAAGGTTCTGTTTCCTATACTCTCTGGCCATGGGATTGTAGGCTGGCACTCCCCAGATCTA